CAGTCTACTCAAAGTTCTTAATGTAATGTCTAATGTAACGCGTAATGCAAAACGGCGCCACGACGTTCAGGAAACTCATCGCATCCGCCCGGATTCCTGGCTGATAGAACCGTGTCATATAACAGAAAACATATTGCACGTTATCACTAGCATCACCATTATTGGCATTCTGTTTCATATCTGTGTAACTATACTCCTCTGAGTTCTAACGTATGTATGCTTAAAGTCCTGTGTCAAAGCTATTGCATCGCGTCCACACCAGTTCTACAATTCTCATTGTTTTTTTTTTTCTGTATGATTAAGCTCAACTTCCTCTGCACTTTTATTTATGTTCGCAAGTTTTCTGGTTTACAGCTATTGTATAATGTCATAATCAACTAAATATTAAATTACAAAATAAAGTGTATTTATTCAACAACTTCAGATTTTCGTTTTTTTAACTCTCGCTTGAATGCTTGTACTTAACCTCCCCTCTACGTTTATTTATTTAGTATTTATTATTTTTACTTCCTTATTTACTTTCCGCCCCTCAAGATTGCGACATATCTCAAATCTGGCACCTGAGCCATAAAGTTTGGAGATGCCTGCCTTAGAAATACACATCACTATTTGACGGCTTCGGATTGGAATTTGGTATAGCTTTTCCCGCGTCCTTGTCTTCACAGGTGCCAACCCTGGCTGACTCGGGCATCTGATCCATCCACGACGCCAAGGCGAAGCCGCAAGACGACGTCGTTCAAGCCGAAGTCGAAGCCGACGCTTGGCCGCCGCACCCACTGGGCGTGCCGGCCTGCCTGAGGAATGGGATGGCCGGTCTCCATCGGTGGGAGCCCAATCGGCATCGCATCATCATCCACGTCACATCCGGGTAAGTTTACATATCAAAAACACCAGTACTAAGTAAGCATCGATCCAACTAGAACGGTTCTTAGGGCCAAAATGGGTTTTTGTGTCTAGGAATTCACAGCCTTAAAATTCCCGAAGTAGCCAAAGTAGAGGGATCGATCGAGAATACATACAACCAGGTTTGCTGGACAGCGTGAATGCGCTATGCAACACAAAACACTGAAACTCTATGAGAAGGTGACGCAAGCGTTGGTGATAAAATGTGAATTTGTGAGCACAATGATCTAAACCTAATATATTCATCAAACCAAATTCTGAAATTGTGTGTTCATGTAGCATTTATTTCGGTGAAGACACCTGCCAGGAAGAAAGACAATGTTTGTTTTCTTTCTTGCTGTATTTCTTTTTTTAAATAAATGGCTTAAATAAGGCTTAGGTAGATGTCGGTTAACATTTTTTTTTTGTTTAGTCTAATTTAAATAACATCACGTGCTTCATTTTTTTTTCATTTTTAGCACAACGGCTAGCATGATATTCTCCCAGCTTCAGTTTTTTTTCGATTCGTATTTTAATTATGCTGGATAAAGAATCGGGTTTCATTTTCTCTATCGATCCCTGTAGAGCCAAACGACCTTCTTCGGTCAGAGTCTGGGTGTCTTGGTCTTAATTCGCGAAACGAGTGCCGAAGTTATACTTGAGTGAAGGTAGTCTGGCTGTCATCTGTCATCTTTGAACCTAAATTGTCAAACAAGTGCAGATTTTGGCTTCACTTCTCGTTGTCCGGCTTTCATGTGGCAAATTTGAGCCTAAATTGCCAAACATGCGCCAGATTTAGGCCTCGTTGCGGGGTCTCTGGTTCATAGTTGGCATCTTTTGATTAATACCTTGGATTTCGGCAATTATGTGGCAAGCGATAGAGAAGTCATAGAAACTCTAAAGGAAAGCGCTCGGGCCCAAGAGCAGAACCGTATTAGGCCCAAGTATGGCCCGTAGGACTGCCAAACTTTTATCAAGTCAGGCATTTTTTTCCCGAGGTTCTCTGGGAAGCCTTTTTTTTAACGTTTAATACACATACATACATTTTTAGAAATGTAAGCAAGCAACGCCGTTTCAAAATCTAGTCTGGTCAAAGGGGGCGGACAACGTTTCCTTGAGACTTTAGTCTGTCAACAGTGGGCACGGCCTAGCAAGGCTTACCTGCGACAATCTACACACACCATCAAGATGGCTGCTCCCAGGGGCCGTACTTGCAAGTCTCCATACCAAAATTTCTTTCCTCGACTATTCGATAGCGAGCCGCCGAGAAGTCGCAACCGAGTGGGCGTGGGTTCGAATCCCGCCTAAAATTCTTCAAACCTTTCTTAGAGCGCAGCTCTTGGCGCCCGTTTCCGGCTTGAGCGGCGTCGGGGTCGCCGTTGCCGTTGGCATAACCGTAAGGTCACGTGACCCCCCCCCCCAGGTCACGTGACCCCTTAGTACCGTTCCTCTCACTACTCTCCCCTCAGTACCCTTCCCTCCTCCTCCTCAAGTGCTGCGCTCCAATTTGGCGTTACAGAGAGTTGTAAACGGCTTTCACTTTTTTCTTAAGGAAAATTCCTTACATTATAAAGTGAAATCCTTTGATACATACGGCGAGCTTCAATTCGCATTAAATGTCATATTTTAATCACTTTCATTCTATGTGTTACGTCACGTTCCACGTGAGCGTTGAGGGACGTTTGAAAATCCCTCTGGAGTAGTCTGGCTATGACGTCATGACCCTATCGACCAATCAGAATTTTCCGTCCCTCCGACGCCAACGCCGGCTTTTCTGCGATACGAGCTCCTTAACGCTATCCCGTTAAAATATTAGTTTTCCGAAGAGCACGTCAGTGCAAACAATACTATAACTACCCATATGAGGACACTGACACTAAAAATACCCAGTGTTCTAAGTATTATATCTTCCAAGGTTTTTTTAATCCTCCAGCCACTCACTTTTTGGTATAGAGAACGCGACACTCTTAGCACGAGAAAGCGATCGCCAAGTTGTCTCGTTTTTCTTCTTTCTTTTTTTTTTTTTTGCGTGGAACTAATTTAAGCATTAAAAGCTACTGATTTTTGTAACATTTCCTGAGTCAACTAAGAAGAAAAAACGCCGATTTCCTATTCGCGCTATGTCGCGCAGTGTACTTCCTCTACCCCGTCCTATACTGTAGATTTCAATGAGCCCAACGTTGTACCAAACGAGCAAATAAGTATCTTTGACCTTAATTCGGAGAGCAAGTCATCTGCTTCTTGCGCAGGAGTCAATTGCGGTGACGTCAGGACGACACCGAGCTTTGATTGGGCTTAATTGAAAGGATAGTGGGTAGACCTCAATGTTAGACACCTTAAGGTCTAACATTGAGGTCTATTTGAATCAGCCAATAGGAGCTCGGTGTTCTGACATCATCGCAACCTCTGTGCAGGAAGCAGACGAACTTGAGCTCCGCATACGTTCCTCATGACCCCTTAGGCCGCTTAAAACGCCCCTTAAAACGCGTGAAAGGAAATATTTATCTGAGAAAAACATTTTAGAGCAATACTTACGGTGAGAGATTTATTTGAAATTCTGCGAGCAAAGTCCATGACGTCACGGAATGGTCATTCGCTCTTTCCACCTCAACGAGATGGCCATTTGGTCTATCCACCTCAACGTAAAGGCGTAGCCGATCCGCCCCTCCTCAACGCGCCCGAAATGCCGAGAAAGAAAACAGGTGGAAAGGAGGTAACTACCGACTAAATCGTTTTTCGCGCCGTCAATATTTCCCTAAAAAAATGTTTTCGTGTAAAATTAGTTTTTTTTACGCGCAGGTCCCAACCAGACTGTTTAAAAAAAATGTTTTTCTTTTAAGGTTTTTTTTTTTTTTTTACGGCCCTGTAGCGCCTTCTCAGCGTGTGCTGAAGATCTCTTCTGCGAAAACTATGACACAAGAGCCAGCGGAAACCTAACGCAATACCCGTGTTCTATCTGTGCCTGCGGTAGATCTCGTCGTGATAACGTCGAAATTCTAGTGCGCTGGCCTCAATAATTCTTACGTCCGAGGACTACCAATGATACGAACTATTAGGGTCAGTCAAGCTTCTCGGAAAGCACTAGATCAAAAGAATGTTTCGTGTTCCCATACGTATGTCAGAGAGTTTTCGCATGGCGTATATAGGAGTAAACGCAAGCGCTCTGCGTTTACGATTTAAGGCCCACCCGCATATTTGCGTTTGAACGCGTTTCACTGCTGAGCGGTGTCCGTGCGGCCGGAAGCGGTTGCTTGCAGTACGACGAGTGCCGTCCCGCAGCTTGCCGTAACTTACCGCGAGAGATTAGAGCCTCGATAAATTTTCAAAGCGGCTGTGGTTACGGAGTGTTGCGGAGAACAATCAGAAATCTAGACAAAAAAGGGAGGATCACGAGCTTGCCCGCGCCCGTCAGTGACGTGCATTGGATCCTTCTTGTGCTTGTTGGGGAGAAGTGCGTATGTGTGTGTGTGTGGAGGGGGGGGGTTACCATGGGAGATGGTTCTTTTGAGGCTGCGATGCTTCGGGATGAACAGAAGTCGCGCAATCCGGCCGGATCACCGTCGCCTCGAAAGACCGGCCAGGTCGACGCGCTGTCAACAGGCGCCGCCATGTCGCCGTGGATTTCGCTTACTATTGGCACGCGGCAAGCGACGATAGCGCGTTCTTATTGGCTCTTGACTGCGGTCGATTGCATTTTAACAAAACTCCGTGTACAAGCGTTGCGCAAACGCTTTCCGCAACGTTCTGCAGCCGCCTGCCCCTATTGAAGGCATTGCGCTGAAACGAAAATCTGTGTATAGGTCTTTAGCGTTGAGTGCTCCCCGCAGTCAATGCGCGTCGTCGCTATGCGCCAATCCAAGGCCGAAGTTTAGGCTCAGCGCACGTGCAGTGAGGAACACGCAACGCTAGCGCAAACGCAAAGTGCTTGCGTTCACTCGTATACGTAATACTAAAGCTCGGTCTTACCGCCAAACTCATTCAATCAAGCGTGAAGACTGTCCGTTTGTGTTTGTGCTGCGACTATTTTTTTTTATAATGACTATGAGTGCTGTTGCCTTGAGCTCGCATCTCTTACAGCGCCGTACACTCATACTGTGTAATATATTTTTCTTCCTCAGCCCACGCGTGCCTCGCGCTGGCGCTTCTGGCATTGGTGGCGCGAGGCGAGTCTACCCCGCCCCCTTTTGTGACGTCACCCTCGGTGGCACCGCCGTGCCGCCTATCGGAACTGGCCTGCGACAACGGCCGCTGCGTGGCGCTGTCCAGGTACTGCGACGGCAGCGATGACTGCGGCGATGGCTCGGACGAGCCCATCGGATGCTCAAGTAAGGGTCTGACTTACCCGGATGTAAATAGTAAACAGTATTAAACACTTCTTCTTGGTTAGAAAATTTTGTGACAAAGGTGAGACATAAAACGACAATATATTTGCCAAGCACACTTCAGATTAGCGTCTCCAACATGGCCTAAAAAGCAGCATACATTTAGACATACAAAAATAATGGAGGTTTGCAGCAGAAGCGAGGGTTTGAGTCTGGCCTTAAACGGCTAATTCCTCTTTACCGTTTTCCTGCAGACTGCAACCGTACGCTGTTCGGCGAAGTGGGCGGCAAGAACCCGCTGCGCATTGCGGAGCCCTTCCAGAGAAACCTGCCCTTCGTGTGCAGTCTCTACTTCGTCGCGGCCGGGGGAGAGTTCGGGGACATCGTGGAGCTCACCTTCCTCAACTTCCAAGTGGGCTCTCTGGAGATGGACAGGTGGGACTCAATACCATAAAATGATGTACCCATAGTCAAGAGTCTCGTTCTCACGGGTGCAGACCGACGAGAAGAATAACAACCATGCATGTTATAAATACACAGGAATATCAAAACTTATCATTTTTTGCATGGCATATGGAGTCTCAACAATATGAAGGCAATAACTAGGATACAAACTTAAAGCCATTTCTGAGTAAAACTTAAGAAATTTAATGAAACTCGGACATGTCGCCATCCTAGGTAACTGAATCATGAAGTAACCCGTGGAATAACTCAATCCAGGGACACTTGCAGGCAACGTCTACAAGTTCCCCTGGAATGATTCCTACCATTACATATTGTTGTTGGTTATCTGCGTTCGCTTGCTATTTTGCATGTTCATTTTAACCAATGACGGAACCTGCTTGACTACATCATCATTCACCGTTCATTTGCGTGCTCTTCGTTAAGCTCGTTCATTGATAAAGGACTCGTACTTACAATGGCATTCTCCAAAGACACATGTTAGTATACTTGTGTAACGTATACCACCGTCCATGATGCTTGCTTAGTAACTAGCAACTTAAGAAACAGCACTTGGCCTGTCAAGTTCATAATCTCACTAACTGCGGAGAAAAAATCAGACGCTCAGAAGACTCTACGCCCTGCGTTTCTTAAACTCTCACTGACCACAGTCAAACAGAAGTGACTAAGTGTAACCCCGCTTCGAACTTTGTACGCAGGAACCAGTCGGCCATCTGCTTCAACGGCTACCTCCAAATCGTAGAACCAGCCACATCTTCCCCGGTTGCCCGAACTCCGCAGACCAGAGGCTTCAGCCAGATCCTGTCGGCGGTGCGAGGGGAACCCGCCAACCCTCACCTGACGTCCTTCTACGACGGCAACGCCGGCGAACCAGATTTCGGTCACTTCTGCGGCGACATGGTCAACAACAACCCAAACAACGACAACAACGCCGGCGGTCGGAGTGGATCTGGAGCCACCTTTTTCTCCGACCGCAACAATGTGACCCTCGTGGTGGCCGTTCCCAGCAGGGCATCTCTGCACGCGTTCAGCTTCAACCTGTACCTCACGTACAGGTTTCATCCCAAGAGGCCGTCCAGGACGCGGTACGGGACGACCGAAAGTCCTAACGACCTGGGGAACGCGACGCCCGGAACGTACTGCGATAGGGTCTTCGAGAACTGCGACCGCAAGCGTTGCAAGATCAGGTCGCCCAACTTTCCGGGATTCTATTTAAGAAACTTCACATGCACCTTCACGGTAAGAAGCGTCGGCAGTCCTACATGAAGTATGCGGTTTGACTTCGTGTTTCTGTTACTGCGTAATGCACGTAAAAAAAAACACGTGTTCGCAATCGCATTGCCGAGGTAAAATTGTCTACTTACAGCTGCAACACCAGAGGTCGTCACGCAATTTTTCTCACTGAACTTTACTGACTCTGTGGAACCACCCTCCTTATATTTGAAACTTAACAGAACACCTAAACATTTTCGAAATGTGACAGTCAATGCTTACAAATTATTTACTACCAGAGACTTATCCAATTTACCTTGTGCAAATTTGTTTTGCCCCAGTTTAAAGGAAAACTCATACTTACGGATATAGCTCTGCCTAAAAACTTTGAAACATGTCATAAGTGGAAATCTTTTGTATACCATGCTGCGACAAACAAATAATGTTAGGCTGGCTGTCACACCGGATTGCGCATCTTCGAATTTAACTTGGAGCTCGTTGTAGACCTGCCCACTAGTGCCCCCCCCCCCACCCCCCCCGATTATTCACAAATCAGTTTATTCGACCTTAGACTGCATATTGTCAGTGACTCAACAAGTGCAGTCTTCAAATACCGAAAAAGGTCCACCATGTGCCCTAAGATCAGCATAAGATTTATCCTTTCTTCAAATATTGTTTATTAGTAAACTTTCTGCATCATGCAATACCTGGCGAAGGTAGTCTGCGGCAGGAAAACTACTACACTACTACAGTAGCGTAAGGTTTTATCTTCTGTTACTAAATGACGACATCAATTTCAGGTGAGGCAAATGGCGGCACCCCCTGGGAAGCAAGCTCAGATCGTCCTGTTTCAGGACAACGAATACAAGATATCGATTTACACTGGAAGAAGCACAGTAACAACATTCTCCCAGCGCAGCCTCACTGTCGACTGCCTGGGCGACGTGGTGCGAATCTACGACGGACCCAGCAGCCAAATATCGCCGCTTCTCTCGCAGTTCTGCGGGACAGGCGTCCTACCGGAAGTGGTCTCCAGCGGACCGGAAGCAACAGTAGTCTTGCGCAGTGCTCCGGCGCAGCAGATGCACAGTTCGAGGGTGGAACTAAGCGTAGCCGTTCGGTTTGTGGACGTGGACGAGTTTAAAGTCGGCAAAGGTCGCTGCGACTTCAGCATTGACGGGAAGGCGGAAAGACGCGGACTCATCAAGACACCGAGTCATACCATGCCGCCAAACACAACGTGTAAATACCGATTCATAGGTCGCTCCCCCAGCGACCGAGTGTGGATCTATTTCCTTTCGTACTTCGTCGAGGACAAGCATAGGTGGGCGACGGAAGAGAAGTGTGACGTATCCAGCGTGGAAATTGTCGATGCCATAGGTCCTGGTAAGCTTATCGGTGGTACAAACTCAACAGACTTTAGTTCTGGTACAAACAACGGAACGGTGACTTCTGTAGCTGACGATGCCGGGAGGACATTTCGGTTCTGCGAAAAGAACTGGCCTCGAATCTGCGCAAGGGCGGCCGAATATCCGCAGTTTATTCCGCTGCGGCCCTGCCGCCACCCAGACGAATCTTACTTGTCTTCAGGACCCGAACTCCTACTTCAGCAACATTTCTTCAAGACAGTCGAACTTCCGGTACGCCGTAGCACCTTCGCTGCAAGATACGAGTTTGTCGACACCGAACAGCAAGGCGCCGACATGGGACCCAGACATGGGCCGTGCCATCGCCACTTCCAGAGCAGCAGTTCCAAATTCGGCATCGTTTCTTCACCAAAAAACGTGTTCCTCTACGGTCGCGGCGGTCGCGAGAATGTCACCTGTTCTTATTACTACTCAGGCATGTCCTCCGAGAAGCTCCGAATTTACCTGGTCACGCTGAACCTGCCCACTTCTGGCTGTGAACACTACTACGACCAAGTGACCCAACGATACAACTGCCGCGTCACCGGTAGACCTTCAAGTCGGCTCTCACTCCTTCATGTCATGGATCATTGGGGCGACACGTACACTCCCATCGGATGTTTCTGCAACGTTACGTCGCAACCCCGCAAGCCCATCCTCATCGAATCCGTGGGCAACAACGTGACCCTGACCTTCACCATCAGCGGGATGACCTCTCTGGAAGACTTCAACAACTACGGCTTCGAAGTGACGTACGAGTTCCGGCCGGCCACCTCCTGCGACACTGGAATGGAGCTTCGTAACGGCTCGCAAGGCGAGCTCCTTTTCTTGGCGCCTTCAAGCGTGGCTGACCAGGAGCTGCCACTGAGATGCCGCTGGTTCATCGAAGCCTCGCCGCGGAAGTACCTCTACCTTAAATTCCAAGGTGAATTTCCATCGTTTCCAATATGATTCTGCAAAAAAATGCACAATAATTTCCAGTACCCACAAAAAAATCTGCTTTATTTCGATATTTTTATATGGGTTCCTTCGTGGAGCAAGACAACCGGACCACAAGTTAAAATTTCGTTTGGTGAAAATTTAGCCTCCCCTTAAATTTATCTTGGCAGGTTGAGTGTGAAAAACAGTTTTAAAACTTTTCCCCACAATTGCTAAACATTGGCCTCATTATGTAAACGGCACTATAAGGCCACGATTACTTTACAACTATCATTTAGTGTTAATTAAATTTTCATGCCGGGAAACAAATATGAGCACTCAATCATTCGCGTTTAATTCAAAACAGTGAACCTAAAAATTGTTGTCATCAACAGTATTCTCCACGTATTACGACAGCAGCAATTTTTTTATCCAACGTAAACTGTTCTAATTTTTAAAGCAAACTAAAAAGACAGTCGCCAAAAGATGCTCCTGAATAAGTTTTCATCCGATGAGAGATAGTACAAAAACGAATGCTAACGATTTATGCAACAATTAGATAGATGAGCAAACAAAGAGAGGACAATTAGCAAAATAATAAAATCGCAACATTTGTCTTTTGCTTGCTTTCAAGGTCGAGACGGCTCCAGAGGGTGCCCGGACACCGGCAACCGATTCGTCGTGTACGCGGATGGCATCATGCAGCCCGTGGCCGTCGTCTGTTCTGGAGGCATTCACGAGGAAACGTCGCTGTCCTCGTCCACGGACTTCGACATCTTCTCGGCCTCCTGGTACAACGAGACGTCTGAACGCGGACATCACGCACTCGCAGACCGCGTGGTCATCGAAGTGGTCGCGTTCCGGTCTGGTCAGTTCAGGCTACGCTGGCTGGAGGTCACCAGGCCGTTCCTCAAGACCTCCTCTGGACTCACGCTCCGCAACGTGAACTGCCTCTACGAGTGTCCAGAGCTCAGCGCGTGCATCTCTCCAGAACTATGGTGCGATGGCACGGTTCACTGCCCGTCTGGACACGACGAGAAGCCAGAACACTGTCGAAAGTTCCCCACCTTCTACGTCGCCCTCGGAGCCGGAGCTGGATTTGTCGTTGTCTGCGTGAGTCTCGCGGCTGTCTTGGTATGGTGCCATAAGAAAGACAAGACAAAGGAACCGAGACCGGCGCCCACGGACGACCTTCAGTTGGAGAGTCCAAACAGCTGACCTTGGAGGTCGATTCTGGACTCGGCGACCGAGGGTCCGGAATCGCAGGAGACGACTCCCGTGGTGCCCATCGACGTGGTCATGTCCTTGATGCCTGCAGGACTGCCCACAGGACTGGGTTCTGGGAGGCCACAGCGGAATGACTTGTCGCCGCCGCCCGCCTACACGGCAAGCCCTGTACTAGACGTCTACGTCATCAAGTCCATGAGGTCGCCCTGCCTCTAACGTGATGTTACCGACGATGTTCTGTGGGTGTCTGTGCTCCTTGTGGACTCTTGAGTTGCGAAAGATACGGGGAGATTTAGTACCTGCTGTGCTCATGGTTCTTGTGATGCTTCGATAAGACGAGAAACAATATGCGAAGAAAGTGATAAGTGTTTGAGACATTGCGGACATGCGGAATAGACTACCGTGCAGGAATTCATGCTCACGTCGTTCATTTTGTGTGGTTATTTATATCTACGCGGTCTTCGACGTTGCCTGTGTACCGTAATATATCATACTAGCCGAAAATTTGTTTATGTATTGCGATGGTGGAACGACCCGGTAAAAGCCGCATTAGTTTGGTACCTCATAATAAAATCACAAGTTAGATCTCCATATTGCTTTGATAGTGGTTACCTCAAGAAACAATAACGAAAACATCAAAACAATAACAGTCCACAAGATAATTTGTATGTTAAGATACGTCTAGTTGGACGTAAGATAACATTTTAATGTGCTTTCGTAGAAAAACGCGATCGGAATAATGCAAAGATAATTTTATAATTTTCCAAGTTGCTATCTCATGATTGCGGCATAAAACCTTTGACTGACGCGAAGAACGAACGCGAGAATGTTTACACCAGTACAGATTTTCTATACAAAAAAAACTCGAATCTTAAAAGTAATTATAACCTGCAGTTTTCCACTGGCTCTATTCCAATACTTTATGAATCCCTATGATTATTAGCAATCGAACTTTTATTGTGTTTTTCTGTTTTATACAAATAAGCGCCAACGTTATTTGAGTGTTAACACGGCAAGTGAATTGAAAGATGTTAGCCAAACGACTAATGCTCACCAGTTGTGGTATAGTGTCTTAAATCGTCCACGCAACCATTTTTTCTGTTGTTGTTCTTCACTGGGACATGTTCAGCACAGAGCCATAAGTTGTGATGGCCGCTGAATAACCAAAATATACTCAATCTGTTGAATCACGTTACAACTCTAAGTGGCCTCAGGCACATGTGCTACGTACTACAGTGTGCTGGGTTCCACCAAAAAGTGCATGTCGGGCACTAAGACAGGTGACGAGCACGGTGTGTAAATAAAGTCTTTTTTTCTTGATAAAATTGCTAATCTCGGTTCTATATATATAGGCGCAAACCCACAGGGTCTGTTTTTAAGATGGAAAATTTGGCTTGTATTGTGCTGCTCTGGCATACTTGTTTTGCAGTGATTTTCTATTAGAATCTTTATTGTGGCTGCAACGTTATTGGAGAAAGGGAGTGATAAAAGAAGAAAGACGCCGTCACCGGTGCGCAGAAACTTTCGACGTCACCACACACGAATAATTACGTCAGTGATAGTGCCGACGGACGCACTGCACAGACGTGTATATTGATAATGCCAATAATTTTATTCCGAAACAATCTTAGCAGGGATATTTTGTCTCACCGCTTTTTCGAACTGTGGTTTTTGCCTGCTTTTCCTTTTTCTGCATTTAAGTTTCGGGCTTTTTTTAAATTTCGACTTGCCGATAATGAACATTTTCTCAGTAAAACCTTACCTCATACTTTTTTTTTCTTATGAAGAGTCCAAATTATCAGCAATATCATAGCGGACCACCTTTCGGACTCGAATTTCACAAAAGAGCGATGAACTACACAAACAGAAAATAAGGTCGTTTTCTAAGCATCGACAGAATTCAGCATGTGCAAGTACGTACATAATTGCGTACGTGAAGTATTCACTTTAGTACGCTGTTATTACTTACAAATATTTGTTTGAACTCCTACCCAGAAATCAGTGCATGAAGCTTCAAATATATTTCCCGTTATTTTCGAAGAAACGTTTTCCAGGCGATATCCAGCTGTGTCTATCAAAGTTGTTCGGTGAGTAGTTAAACTTATTGGCTAGCCAACCTCAAGCTTAATTTGTAAAATAACATCATAAGTTGTATTTATTAGGCAATGCAGTACATCCCAATTGAATCCATATTTGGCAGAAACATTTTTTTTACATTTTTCCAAAATACATTTTGAAAGAACAAAATTAAATGTAGTACCGTTTTATTCGTTTGACAAACACCTCCTGAAAATGGTCGTTTACTTTAAACACCATGCACGCGGTTCATCCAGAACATTATTTCTACATAAACAAAGAACAGAAACCCAAACTTAACTTAAATTATGGAGAAGATTCGTTCTGGAAGACTGGCCAGTGCTTCTTGTTTTAGAAACGTTTGACGCATTATAGATAAACCCTTCAAATAATAAAAAAAATACGTTCCCAAAACACCAGATAAAATTCAAGATAACAAAAAAACTTTTTTTCTCTATAAACAGCAATTACCCAGCACCAAGTACGAGTGAAACAATTTGGCACAAAACAAGAGCTTACAGTTGGTACAACGTTGTTTTTACCTTTACTGATATTGGTCCCCCTAACGTACGTACCTTTCTCTAAACACATAAATCTAAATTCAGCTGTTTTTTTTTTTCTTCTTTCTAAAAAATCGTGATCTCTGTTTCTTCAAACTAACATCAGCGTTAGATTCAAGAAATCTGCATTATATTCAGAAAACGTAGATTAGCACCTGCCTCATCACTTAATGATCCCTCCTTAATTTTTCGTGGTCATGATAAGGTTATTTTTTTTTTAAATACATTTCATTTAAATTGTTTTTTTTATGTATAAAAAAACACTAAGAACATTAGAAAATGTTTCTGAAAAAATAAGTGCGACAACGCTACACCAAACAATTATACGAAGGGGTCTTGTCGTTAGAAAAAGGCGAATCGCTCTGACAATAAAGAGCTGAACGAATTGTACACATATAACTTTTCTATGACTATGTACATAGTATATACTGTATATATATAAAAACAAAACGGATGTGACAAATTGAACGGCTCCGGTGAAACGTGATTCTTTTCAATGTCTTTTGGAACAATAAAAGATGATCAATTTTACATGCGCATAGTTACATTCTTTTAAGAGTCAGAGGGAAATTCGTTGCACGATTTTTTCTTTAAATATCGGGAAGTGTTTTCGTTGGAGACAAGGATTTCGGATGTTCTTGGCAACGTTACTAAAACACTCAGTTGGGAAACTCGCCGTCGAAACCTGGGCCGCTGGCGTCCACCGAGACCGAGCTAAATGCGACAACAGCGCCACTCTTTATCGTTTCTTTGTACTATGGTCACCTCGAGCTTTTTGAAAGCCTGTTTTTGCGTAAAAACAAACGGAAAATACTTTTTTGTATGAAATTTATTGGAGTTCAGTACCAAATGATGGGCGCGTAATGTTTTTATTATCTTTAGTTCGTAAGGTTTTGCGGAACAATTAATATTGTTTTTATACAACCATGCCTCAGCGGGCCTTTCAGGTAGCGCGTCCCGACCTGGGTGCATTTTAACTTCGGCAGTTGAACGCGGCGCGTGCACCGGGGGTGGCACCCTTGCAACACCTACCGCGGTATCTGTTCTTCGAGTGGCCGCTGCGGAAGAAATGGTGGCGTTGTGTTCGTCATTAGCTCGGTGCTCGGCGACAGATTGGGGCCACTTTTTCAAAGCTTTCTCTATGGGAGTTTTCCAACTGAGTGTTTTAGTAACGTTGGTTTTTGGTTTTTTTTTTTTTTTTTTTTTTTTTTTTTGCTTTGTTGTTTTAACAACGCGTACTATTGCTGCATCTCGAGGCACTCTGGCCCGTAAGATGGTGCCGTTCACGGGCGAAGCATAAAATTTGTCATTTTTCATCAGGGGGTAATCACTAATATTTTATTAAAGTAAAAGTAGTAACTTTTCTCAAACAAAACTATGTACTTTAGTAACTTCCTCACATATAGCATTTGTATGTGAGGAAGTTATTCTTTAGTAGGGTGCGTTGTTGGGCTAGTTGGTTCATCTCAGTAAAACATATAAAAAATCGCAACAGAGAGACAAGGACAAAAGTATACAGGTAGCGCCTGTCCTGTACACTTCGTGTCCTTGTCTTTCTGTTGCGCTATTTTATGTTTTATGAAGTTATTCTTATATGCTGCGACTGCTGTAACCCAGGTAAGCGAACAGTAGCCTCGTCAAGTAGTTTCAGGCCAACTTTTTGTCTTCAAACAACAACGTATGAGATGAGAACAAACTGTAATTGATCCTGAGCATAATGAGCATAAAAAGCCCGAAGGAGAGCCAAAAAACATGGACACGAAAAGAGGACTAGCGCTTCGTTCATATCCTCGTCAGTCGTTTCCGCTATTTGTGCTCATTATACTTAACCAACTAGCCAGCTTTAGTATTTTAGTACAATGATTTCCAGTTTTTTTTTTTTTTTTCATGTTCTTGCACCCGATCTAATTGTTAATATGGTGACAGAATCAGATGACGCCGTTCGCTTTCATGACCGACGATATTCAGTTGGCCGCTTTTCTGGATGACAATACCCGGCGGAACTTAACTCCTTGCTTCTTTTATTTAGAAAATTACCGCTTCCAGCGATATCACTTTTATCCTACAGAGTGTCACATTAAGTCCGCCCGCAGACGACGCTACAGCGCGAAAAAGCAAATCAAGCGCGTCGTCACAGCTTCAGCTAGGTGGCGCAAGCTACTGCCCGTTGCAAAGGGTATAGCTATTAACATCCATCTATCCATCTTGAACTCTTCGTCTCGGTTATTTTCGTCTCACCGGCTGAACCAATCATTCATAGCAGAAGCGCAAAGTCGTGGGGCATTTACTGTGCGAGACTGATGTAGCTAGGTTTAGCAAACGTACAAAAACAACGATTGCCATGACGATGCACTT